GCTGTCAGCACAGAGCCCGACGGGGGGCTCGAACTCACGAACCGCAAGATGACCACCTGAGCTGAAGTCAGACACCTACCCACCTGAGCCACCCAGGTGCCCTTATTTCAATCATTCTTAGAGGGCTACGGGAGCCTGGAAGGGCATGCATTTGCAGCTTCCTCCTAAGCAACAGACTGTTACCTTCTGAAAAGAAAAGTCTGGAACATTGCCCTCGACTGGGTGTGGCAGAGTGAGCCTGTGTCTGACAGGTGGCACTCCACACAGCCCACAGAGGGCAGGTTCCACTGGGCCTGTAGCCAGGCATCTCTGCGTTTAAGGGGGTGCTCAGGTTTTGTGGAAGTGGGTCTGTTGCTGCAGAGAGTAGGGGATTTAAAGTTTATTTATTTTGAGAGCGAGAGCGCACACGAGCAAGGGAGGGGCAGACAGGGACAGAATCCTAAGCAGGCAGCGCAGAGCCCGACGTGGGGGGTAGAACCCACAAATCCTGAGACCGTGACCCAAGCAGCCCAAATGACTGAGCCCCCCAGGCGCCCCAGAGTGGGGGATCTAGAGTCTCGTGTTCAGACTCGAGGTTAACTGTGAGAGCCGGTTGTAACGTGCAGAGTGTTTGACAAGCCTGTGGTGCTCTTTGTACAGATTAAGTGAGGCGGGGTTTCTCTTGCTAAAATTGAGCTCTTGTGAAGAACCCAGGGTGACTGAGGCTGTCTTAAATCTGCTCCCTGTCCCTGAGGGCTTTGGGAGTAAAGGTCTCCTTGCGGGGGCTTTTCATTACAAAGGACACCAGCCAGCCCTTGCGTGAGTCACCGACCTCGTGCTCGGGTGCCCGTCAGAGCCTGAAGCAGGCTGCCTGCCTGCGGGGACAGTACGGAGTTCTGGAAGCGGCTCCTGCCTTCGCCCTGCCTCACGTGGACAGCGTGGCCCGTTCTCCCCCACCCCCCGGAGCGCTAGCTCCTGCCCACCGTCTTGGATCCTCTTTTCCAAAGCGACTCTAATTTCATAGGGGTGATTCCAAGCTGACTTCTGCTGGGCTTGGGAAGGCCTTAGGGGTGGGGGTGGGGTGGGATGTAGTCTCCGTCACGTGTCATACCACATGGGCTCCTGGCACAGGGTCCTGCTCACCCCCCAGCACCCATCCCTCCCGTGCCTGGGGGGGCAGAGCGAGTTCAATAATTCCATACTTGCTAAGGGTATGATTTTCTGGTTTTGTCATAAAAATTTCAGAAAGGGAGTGATGTTTTGTTAGAAAAAGGAGTTTTTGCCCCAGACAGGTGAAAAAGGCATAGCGGTGGCTCTTTTCTGACTTGGTGGGGTGCACGCGCCACTGTGGGGCGGGGGCTGCGCAGGGACAGGGTAGCTGATGCTGACAGTAGACCTGGAAGGTTCCTGGCCTGGCACCCACACCAGCTGCCTGGCTGGGCTACTGCTCCGCAAGTGGCCGCCGCCCTGATACACCGTGTGCCCTGGCCTCCTGTCCGCCGGGGGGGCGGGGGGTGACGGGCAGGCCACAGAGCACTGCCGGGCCCCCAGCCCCAGGTCAGCGGGAACAGAGCCCGGTGGGAGCGCTGTGATTTTGCAGGGTCGAGCACCTCTGTTTGGTGGCGGGAGGAAGGGCCGTCCGTGGTCACAGGAGTCGAAAGGCAGGGTCTGTGCTCAGAGAGCCCCCAGACTTGCGTTTAAGATATGTGTGGAAACAGCTGTTGCCACGACAGGATGTCTTGTGTGTCCTGGCCCCAGTGTGTCCATCTGGTCCCCTGTGTTTGTGCACCAGTGACACGTGGACACAGCATTCGGTACGCGTAGAGGACCCCCAGGGCAGTGAGGTGGGGGGACGGCCACCCCAGGAGGGGTGGGGATAAGAGGCCACAGCTCTCAAAGCCTGGGGGGGACTTCGACCCGGGCCTGCGGAGGTCGTCCTCCTCTGTTGGCACCAGCTGTGTGATGGGATTTTCTTGATTCTGGGAAATCAGAGGGACCCGTTTTTGTCCTGATTTGGGGCAGTGTGGACGTCCTCTCAGTGAAGGTAGGTGGAGGTGGCTTGTTCCGGCAAAAGCCAGCGGCTCGCGCCTGGCCTTGGAGGCGGGGCCCTTTCGGACCAGAAATGAAAAGGGGGTGGGTGGCAGCACTGTGCTCACTCCCAGCTGCTGACAGGCAGGGCGGTAAACGCCATAGGGTCCCCCCCACCCCCTCTTCCTGCACTGGGTCACTGCCGCCTGGGAGAGGAACCTCTGTCCCAGTCCCAAGGCCCCAGCTCTTCTCTTGATCGGGAGAAACAGCTCACTCTTCAGATGGGTGGCTCTGGGGGCTGGGGGCTGGGGGGACGGGTAACCTAGATGCGTTCCTGCTGTGATCTCCTGTGGCAGGTTTCGTGGCAGAACTGTGGTGCATCTGTAGATGGTCTGCGGGCTAGGCCAGAGCGCTCCCTGGAACTGAGCCCCCGCAGGGGAGGGGAGGGTGATTCCCGTGGGGGTCACTGCTGACCTTTGTTGGGGGGCACACCGCAGAGGCGCGTTAACGCTCCTGATTTCGGGCTTTCCTGAAACCCAGCGTGTGACAGGCTCGGGACACAGACCCCCCCCCCCTCCCCTGGGGCTGCCACGGCTGCCTGACATCCCTAGCCGCCCCCCCCCCGCCCCATGTGACGTGCACGGTCCTCTTGTCCCTCCCACAGGCAAGGTGCCGGGCGACGACTGTCCCCTGGTGTGGGGCCAGTGCTCCCACTGCTTCCACATGCACTGCATCCTCAAGTGGCTCAACGCACAGCAGGTGCAGCAGCACTGCCCCATGTGCCGCCAGGAATGGAAGTTCAAGGAGTGACGCGGCCCCTCTGGGCTGTGACAGGGTTGACACGAGGACTGGAGCTGCGTTTGTTTTTCATCACGCGTTGACGCTTTTATCCAATAAATAAAACTCATTGAATTGCCTGAGCCTTGCTGGAGGCCTCCTGTTTGCTCGGCGCTGCTGCAGCCCCGCTGGGCATGTCTTGATAGGAAAACTCATGAATAAACATCTGGATGATGCCACCCAGGCCCTGAGTCACCACCCCGGGAGGAGAAGGAGTGCAGGATCAGCCAGAAGAGCCTGGGGCAAGAGTGACTGGGGTCTCGAAAGGCCTGGTGGTGCAAAGGCCCTGGGGTGCGCGTTGTGTGCCAGCAGGGGGGACGAAAGAACGGTGGAGTGGAGGCCTGTGGCCTGTCATCTGGCCCCTCACCTGCTCGAAGCTGCCAGCCACCCCGCAGACTAGTTTGTGGGCCTCTGACTGCACAGCTGCCCGCGGTCCCTCCTGAAACGCTATACCTGAGTAGGTGCTGGTGATCCAGTTGGAGGCCAGCTCGTCGGGGCTGTGACCTACCCAGTGTAGGTCATGTCAAGGGCATCTGTGTCCCTGGGTGTCTGAGATCCTCTATTTGAGGAAGGACAGCCTTTGGGAAGCTCCTTTGGACACCTCTGTTAATCCACAGCTGCTGGGGAGGGAGGTGGGGGGCCCTGGGGACTGTGTCCCAGCCCTGGGAGTCTTGACCGCTTCTGGACAGAGCCTGCTGTAGGCTGCATGTCTCTGGGAGCTGCAGGGAGTCACTTGGCACTGGCTCCTTCCAGTCTATTCTCAGTGGACCCTCCCCACCCCCCACTGGGGTCCCTGCCCTGTGCCTCGTGGGTGTCTATCTGCCTAGTGGGTGGCTAGTCACTGAGCACTTGTGACACTACTTGTCCTCAGCTCCCAGGACAGAAGACTGGTGGTTCACACAGAGGGGCTGGCCTCCTGGTCACCTGTGTGACACCCTACTTCCCATCTGGATGTTGTACCCAGAGGAAAAGAAGAGGCCCTGGGGACCACCACCCTTACCCAAGCTGAAGGTCACATGCCTCTTGTCCAGAAACCTAGCTGCCAGGACCTCCATGCTGATATCTGTCCTGGGGAGGACACGTGACCGGGATGTTTAGGGACTGAGTGGGAGGGATGCCTGGGCTCAGCCTCTTGGGTGCACCCCACAGCCCCTGCAAACAAAGTTACATCTGGCCGCTGGGGTCTGGGCAGGGGGCTTCTCTGTATTCTTGAGGCTTCGTGTCTACAAAGTGTCTGGATTCGTATCCGGGGAGTCAGGAGGAGGGGTGGTCTGCGGCACCACGGAGGGCCCTCCTGGGCAGTCTCCTGACCTCGCCCTGGCTTGCCCCCAGCCCGCCTCCCCTGCCTGGGGAATTTTCTTCTGTGACAGGAAGTGCACACGAGGCACGGGGACGCGTCTGTACGCTGGAGCGTTGGGCCCTGAGTGCAGCCTCCCAGGTTTCCCAACCTCGCCACCTCCGAGGGCTTGCCTACTTGCCCAAGGTCACAGCCCCTCCTCCAGGCTGTTCCCACTTACCTGCCACTTGGGACTTTTCTGCAGTGGGCTCCAGCCTGGTCCTCCCCGGGCCCGCTGGGCCTCAGGCTGAACACGTAGCTGCCCACCAGGCCCTGCTCACATCCAGCCATGTGTCTCTGCTCAGGACTCCCTAACCTCGGGCTGCTCTCCCTCCTCCGGGAGGCACCCGCTCATCCCACCTGCCTTTGCAAACTCTCTCCCTCCAGTGAGCCACTCTGCTTGCCCTCCGGCGGCGGCGGCGGCGGCGGCGGCG